CTCCGAGATGCCAACGGCTTGGCGATGCCTGAATCCAGCAACGGAGTGATCATGGCTGCTGCTGCTGAAGAAACTGCCATCAATGCTCTCCGCCTTCACCAGTGCGCACCAAAGACGTGGTAGTGGTGCTGGTGGGGAATCAGGCGCTCCCTCATCCAGCAGTGGATTGGCAAAAGGTACGTACATGTACTTGTGTGTTTGTGAGATGTAATTCACTCGTCAAGAGTCTATCACCAAGTGCACAATGCTGTTTCATGGGTGGCAGAAGTAAACTATTTTAAAACATTTTTTAGTTTACCAGGTATAGGCCCACTGAGCTATGTAGCTGTTTTTCAGAAGTGACCTGGACACAAATGATAGCTCAACGAAGTGGCTTATCGTGTGCAAATTGATAGCAGTCAAATTCTCTAAACGCATGTTTCTAAATTTGGAGGGAAAAACCGGAGGACCCGGAGAAAACTCCACGCGACCACGAACGCCTCGAGACGCTCGGCATGGGAGGTGCGGTTTCAATATGAAGTGGTGATGATGATGATCACATTGGCAGTGGAGGTGTCCGGGGATGTCAATAGTGCAAAGTGGGGCTGGCACCACTGCGTCTGCGAGGGTTACATGGTGGGTGTTTGTCGTGCGTTGCGGTGATGAATATTAGTGAATTGATTTCTGACTTAAATTAACATCGATACAACGTGGCAATCTTTGGAAGAACGTAATCAACCAGGCAGGGTGTTGACTGTTATGTTAACAGACTCTCATATTTCTAAGTTTACGAGGTTTGTTTTCTCTTTCATTTGTACCTGATGATGATTGCTTGTGTTGCAATCGAAACGTCGTATGCTATTATTTAATGTATTATTTTCTCTTTCTACGTGACTTTACCGAAAGAACCAAAGAGTAATTCCTGCAGTCACGAAAGCTCCAAATCAAGTTTAATGCATATATTATCAGAGTATGTTTTTTGTTTGCATTCTGACCACAAGTATTGTGGTTAATCCGAGCTAATAATGTCTTGATATTTGCATTGCCTTTGTGCCGTTCGTTCTCTGGTCTAACGCCAATGAGACAAAGCCATACAAGGAGGCTGTAGCTCTGGTGTAGGCCAATCCATTTCAAGGACAATGCCTACATTATCAAACTCATTTCTTTAAAACGGTTTTGTGTTTAGTTATTTGTCCTTCCCCCGCACCTCCGATTAGCAAGTACTTGCGAAATAAGTTATAGATACATACAAAGCATGTTTGTTTGCATGTTTTACTAGAACCATGTGTGGTTAACATCTAATCTATTTTAGCCTTAAAGGGTAAAGCCTTTTAATTTCCCCTCCCCATCCAGGGTTCAGCTTTAGAGGATTACCAACCATCAGGTGCATGCAGTGTGTGTGTGCAGAGGATTCATTTGGATGTTAATATCAATTAGTGGGGCAGCAGTGATTGCATTGCGCTCAGACATCCTCCAGAGTTCGATTCCAGGCCAAGTTTTCACCAAATCAATATCCCGACTGTTTCTGTACAGCAGTGAGTTTTAGATGCTCGATCAATCCACATTTGTAGAGAATATTTGTGATGTGTTAATGCACTGTATAGTGTTATAAACATAAATATGCATGTTACAAATTCATTATTACACTCGTTTATCCAGGATAGTCTCACCGAGTCTCAATACTCTGTCAGACGGCTCCTGCAAAGTTTTGGCAATAGGGGTGCGATGTTCCTGCTGCTGTGCGATCCCAATTGAACATTTTCAGCATTGGGATGTTTTGGCCAGTTACATTGCAAGAGTTTTCAGCTTTGATAGGAAACCTGAAAACCCCGGAGGAAACCCATGCTGCACACGGGGAGAACATACACACTCCACACAGAAAGGGCACCCCAGTCAGAAATTGAACCCAGGTTCTTCTTCCTGTGAGGCACGACTGTTCTCACTGCATCGTCCTGCTGCCGCCCAGTTTGCACTTACTCAGTGGAGTGGCGCTATCGAGAGGTGAGACACTGGAGGGCCTGGCCTGACGTGAGAAAGACGTAGGATCGTGGGTTCGATTCCAGGTCCCATGGTACGTGTGCGGTAAGGGTGCAGTAAATGCAATCAAGTTGCACACTGCGCTACAAACCTGTTGACATGGGTTTGGTTCCTGGTCAAAATGCACGCTAGTGGCTAACAGGTATCTGAATATGACTTGGTCCTTCCCAGAGGGCTTTATACGAGCATCAGATGGTGCATTCCAACAAGGGTTGTTGATTTAAAGCTTTCGTGACTGCAGGGATTCATATTCTTGGTTCTTTCGGTAAAGTCACGTAGAAGGGAAACAAAATAATACAAATATAAAACAGTAAAATTCTCACGACGTTTCGACTGCAACACAAGCAATCATGAGGTGTGAAAACCACAGCAAGAAAATTTGAAAAAAGTGGCGCTTTTTTAACGTTAGCACCACGGAGAGCGATTTGGCAGTTATTCAGATGGACGAGTCCATTTATGTTCGGAAAAGAGGAGGGGGGAGGCGAAAATAATGGATGCGGTCTGAAAGCCACCGTAAGCGTGAACAATCAATTAAGACCCGAAAATGGTATATCAAATCCTTCCAATGATTGCTAAGCCAGAATCCAATTTTTAGGTTGAAATTGTCTCTGTATATGTGGATAGCCTCACCGTGTTGCCTCTGTGGTAGTAGTTACATTGGAGAAACCAAACGACATGTCTCGGACCGCATTCGTGAACACAAAGCAGACCTATAACACGGTAGGACCAACACCTTGGCCTTGGTAGATCACTGTTATATTTCAGTAGGCTCACATGACATTGACTTCTCCAAGACAGAGGTTCTTTGCAAGCCATCTGGCTACCATGAGAGATTCGTTCATGAGGCTATCCACATATACAGACAATTTCAACTGAGAAATTGGATTCTGGCTTAGCAATCATTGGAAGTATTTGATAAACCATTTTGGGTCTTAATTGATTGTTCACGCTTACGGTGGCTTTCAAACCGCATCCATTATTTTCGTCTCCCCCCTCCTCTTTTCCGAACATAGATGGACTCGTCCATCTGAACAAACTGTCAAATCGCTCTCCGTGGTGCTAACGTTAAAAATAACCGCCACTTTATTAAAAATTTCTTGCTGTGGTTTTCACACCTGATGATTGCTTGTGTTGCGGTCGAAACGTCGTGAGAATTTTTATTGTTTTATATATATTTTGTTTCCCTTCAACGTGACTTTACCGAAAGAGCTAAGAATATGAATTACTGCAGTCACGAAAGCTTTAAATCAAAATTGTTGAGTCCTATTAATCTCTCAGTAAGGAAAAGGCGTCCCTGCCCTGCAATAAACAATGTCCAGTGTGATGCATGTGCCAACCTCATGGGAACGGCTCTCGTGTCCCCGCGTATAACGCCGTTTGGACAGCTCGGTGGTGCAGTGATAAGACGTGTACCTCACAGCAAGAAAAACCTGGGTTTGACTCCGGACTCGGGCACCTTTATTTCTGCGTGGAGTTTGTACTACTTTACCCCCCATGTATTCCATGGATTTCCTCCAGGTTCTCCGGTTTCCTTCCACAAGCTTAGAAAAAAACAATGTAACCGTTATTGGCTAAACATCCCAATGCTGTAAAATTTTGAATTACTTGAGATTACACAGCAGGAACATTGCTCCTCTACTTAGTCTCAGCAAGGTTAGGTAAAAACAACGAGCCTACCTTTACCCTACCTTTTACCTTACCACAATCAATCACTCTACCCTACCTTTTACCCTTTAGCAGGTAAGGTAAAAAGCAACGAGCCTACCTTTTACCCTTACCCCATACAAATTACCCGATTACAGGCTAATTACTGGGGTACTACTACACATGAAAAGGTTTATAACGGTAAATGCTAGGTAGAGCGCTTTATTCATTTAGAATACTCTAGAGTCTAGATTATTACAATTTTACACGCTTGTTGTTATTGTTGTATCCTCAAATCTTGTAACTCAATTTTAACCCACTTCCCAATGTGGTATCGACTGCAAACTTGGTATACTTATGTCATACTGATGACAATACTATATTCTATCATAAAAATATATATTTTTAAACATTCTTTTGTATGTTATGTTTCGGCTTGGGTCTAATTTGTCCACGGTCAACTGACGTTGGCTGTAATTGGCCACGGTCCCCTTATGTTGTGGCAAGCTTCGGGGCCACTTCCTGGAGTCGTGGAGTTCTGCCATTACTCGTACATTTCATAAAAGCGTGTTTTTAAACAAGTAAAAAAAATATTACTTATTAAATGGAGGCCACGGACTGCGCCACGGAGCTTTTAGCGGTAAACAAGGTACCGTATTTATCGGGTAATACTTCGCGCCACCTTTACCCTACCGGGTAATCCTTCCGAGCTACCTTTACCCTACCCTTTACCTTACCCCTTGGCATGTCGACACCTTTACCCTTTTACCCGGTAAAAAGGGTAAATTACCTTACCTTGCCGAGGTCTATCCCTACTGTGAAAACTTGGCAGGACCCTCTGAAACAAGAGTCGTCTGACTTGGTGAGGCTTACCTGGGTAACCAAGCGTAATAATATAATACTGTAATAATCTTTCTTCCAACCCAGTTACAATGTGTAGTTTTTTTGGGGTTTTAGCAAATCTGATGTTAGTTGCCTACAGCTCCTAGATCTGCAAAGCTGTGTTGGGCTTTGCGAATGCGTCTCGACCTCTCGTGAGCAAACTTTCAACAACAAAAGATATTGGGTCATGCACACCGGTTTGGAGCTCAACATTGTTACAAACGTTCAATGAATTGCCACACACACTAGCGTACAACCACTTTTTGAAACACATGCATCCGCGCTGCCTTCTATACAAAATCGATACAAAAAACGACGATACAAAAACAACACTGCTCACAGCGGTGGCTGGCGAAAAGGAGCCACGAACAACGAAGATCATGGGGGAAAAGCCGCGAGGTGCTGAAAACAACAAGCGCGGCTTCCCCTTCGGACGAGAGCCCTGTTTGGAACCAAACTCGGGGGGTAAATCCCTTTTTAATGTTTCGTTTGTTTTGCATATGGATTACCAAGTCGCACACAAACCGACAGAGCATCGAGAACACGCGGCAACAAGTCGGGGGTGAAAACACGCATACTTGAAAAAGAATGAAAACCGATCGTTATTTAAACACAAGAGAACTGTTACGAATGAGCACGTACAACAAGAAGAAAAACCCTCCGGTTAAATTCACAATATTACAAAAACGATTTAGTAAAAGCAAATCTTCCCTGAAAAAAAAAAACTTTCTAAAAACCTCCCGACGACTTGGGAGCCTTTTAAAAACGCGAAACATTTTGTTTTCATATCTGTAAAACACGCACACGCCAACCCAGCGGTCCAAACAAAAGTCAAAACAAAACCGCCGCTTATTTATGTATTGGAAACGAGCAAAGGTAAAATGACTTTAGGGCTGATTGGAAAGTCTGTGATCTGGCACAACGCAGTGATGAAAGCAGAGTTATTTATTTTTCTACATGCCCCCTCCCCCCCTTAAAGTGCAGGGCACTTGGTTCTACAGCAATTATCACCACAGTCGTCATCAGCATCATCGATATCCCAAGCCTTTATTACCGCCAGGGACGAATTAATTCTTTGTCACGCTTCTCAAACCGCTCGCTTGAAGAAGGCACTGGGAGCCCAGCCTGGTCAGAATCGGTTCTCTCCCAGAAATTTCTCTCTTCTCCAGATTGCTCTGCATTTTCAAGCGGACGTGTCCACTACTCAGCGAACACGCAAACCCGATGACTACGAACGGTCGAAAGCATTGACATTTAGTGCGCGTTCCGACAGACTGCAATTATATACTTGGCACGGATACAGCCGCCCTCCGTTGCATCTTCACTCCTCACACACATCAGGCCACTAACTCCCCCACCCCTCGTGTTCACAGCACCCACTGCCAGCGAGTCGACTAACTTGACATCACTTGTACGCACCCATGTGTCACAGTGTGTGGTCGACAAAGGCTGCTCACCAGGCCTACTGCTAGAAAACGCTACTAACAGCCGTTATGGCCACGTTCTTTGCCATCCCAAAACCTTAATACGAGCTGGGCAAGCCAGTCCGTAATAACGGAGCCTTCCAGTTCGTTGGGGGGGGGGGGGGGGACGCTTCGATCGTACAGGGAAACGCGCGGACAAACGGAGACACGGACGCACGCGCGGGTTCAGCCGGGTCCACGCCCGGGCGACTGGTTGCGTGGTCGTCTCTGCAATTAGTTACGACCATGTGTGGTTTCGGGAGTGATTTGCTTGCGAGATTCGGTCGACCGTGTGGACCAGTCGCGATGCTACATCTTTAGTCTGAAATGAAAACGCCGTTTATCAAAGTATTTCTATTGCAATCTTTCCCCCAAAAGCTCTATAGGATCCGGGGACTGCTATAGGTAAAGCTGGTGTGGTGAATTTTCTAGCGATTAATTTTTGTTGTAACAACACACTGGAGCGTGTCATTGGACGGACGAATTTACAGACGGATGGACGGACAAATGGACGGACAAAAGATACAACATACCCAGGTACAGCGGAAAGCAGCCAATTGGCTCGGCTGACAATGTCGTGTGGCGCGATTCGTTTCCCTGTTGACTCAGCTGCATCGCTAAAGTCCACGCGTGGCGCTGGCTGCACGGCGACAATTGAAAAGCTGCCGTCAAATACCATCCATCTTCTGTAAACGTCGCTGGCATTACGAACCACGCCTGGTAGTGCACAGGGACCGCTTCACAGGGCCAGGTTGTTGGTTCAGCCAGAAACAGGCGCTGCGTGTTGTGACGCTTACAAACCCCGCCTGGCTGTGAGCTGGCCAGCAGGCATTACAACAAGTGGGTTCACGAACCCGTCTATGTGGACCCTCGAGTTGTCTCCGGATACTCCGACTTTCCCCTCCAACACGTAGTAATACAATTCAGGATATTAAAAACAAATGGACAAAAATCCCAATGCAGAACACGCTTGAATAAAAGTGATAAAAGTGTTACAGAAACCACAACAGTACCGTGCGTCATTTTACACAACAGCACCGTGCGTCATTTTACACACAGCCCAAATATGAATGCAAATTACTCAACAAAGTGGTCGCCCTATGGATGGATTGGAATAGGCATGGAAATTTGGAATGTTTACCACTGGACTACTCAGCCCAAGATATACACAGCACGTGCATGTAAGTACAAGAGCCGCCTAGTCTCTTTGGGTTGTGGTTCCTCTCCTTTCCTGCGGCAATACTGCAACGACACTGCACCACAAACCCAGACACGGCCACGGCCAACGTGAGTGGAGAGCGATATCCAAACTGGACCCGAACCCGTCGTGGCCCTCCATCCTTTCACCGACCCCGCATGCTGAGCAGCGCCGTATGTAGGCTGAACTCGTATTTAGCACTGTACGTAGCCAAGCGCAGCTTTTAGCGGCAGTGCAGCGCTGACCGCAGGTGGTTAAGTTTAGTCAAGGAGAAGCCCCTCGGGACCCACGACGACGCGACATGTGCAGTTGCCTTCAACCAGCAGGGGATTGATAAGAGGCCTTGCACGCGCTGCGTATTCATGCGAGGCACCGTGGGATGCCGCAACACCATTGAGCGAGCATTTGGAACGGAGATTCTGGGTCCAAATGTCTTTGAAATTAATTCGGACGTTTTATCGCGGGAGTAATTTTTTTTTTACAACAGAACCCCATCACAAACCGTGAAGCACCCAAACACCCAACAGACGATTGAGTAGAACGAAAATGCGTATAATTAACCTGCAAAAACTCACAACTATCGTCAACAAGAGCTTACAAACACACAGGGCGACCCATTTACAGATACCCCCAACTTGTTTCCAGTGGCCATCTCGCCTTCCCAACGGCTGACTGAATATTTGGAGAGCGATGGCCCAAAATCAGAGGAAGTGCCTAAAGATAATTGGCAAGTCTGTTGAGATTGGGTGGGAGACGAATACGATATCGTTTTCTCTGCAATTTCTGAATATCACTCGAGTGCGGTATCTAATTGGATCACCGATTGCATGAGTAAGATAACATTCTGTACAAATGCCATTTTTCAGAGGGGGCAGAGATGAACTTGCCGTTGATTATAGCGCACACAAAAGCAGTGCCTTCAAAAAGATTCCGACATTTTTAATTGGGAACGTATCGATTTTAATTATTTACATTTAACTATCCCCCTCACCCCAATTATATTCCAGTCACGAAAGCTTCAAATCTAGAATATATTCCAATTGTGCTTACTGACGGCACGTAATTCGATGAAGACATATCGATTCGGCACTCTTAAAGAAAGCAGCATCTCCCGCCATGTTCAAGAACAGCCTGTGGAAGTTGACGCCAAAAAAATACTTTCTGAGATCCCTACAGTTGCCTCTCATCCACGCCGAGTGATGCTGCGCATCCTCACATGCGCTGCTATGGAATTGTTCTTGTCGCATGGAAATCAAACCGAATTCACCAGAAGCAGCATTAAGTAACAAACTCAACACAACATGTTTGTTTTGTGCAGTCATCGGTGACCTGGCTGGGACCATCAACTCCTTACGCTTAAGAAGCCAGTTTAATCATGGGCGCCTAAAACCTGGATTCAGAGCCAGTATCCTCAGCATCGCTGGCTCAGTATTCTGACCCCTGGGCCACTCGACCGCCTGATATGTGCTTGTATATATACTGGATATGACTGCAAGTGCAATCCCCATCGTTGACAGAGCATCATGAGCAACAAAGTACAGCTGGCTAATGATGTAGACCCCCACCCCCCTTTGGAAGGAATGAGACCAACGATAACCAACCTAAACAAAACCCACTGATAAATGATCGCAAATTCCCGATTACCTTTTGCTTAGTCACATGAAGGGGAATGGTTTGTTTTTACTTTCCAAACACCCTCCAATTTCGATGACCGTATACCGCATTCTCCATATTATAAAATGCACTCCCCCCCCCTTCCCCCACTGTATTTTAAAGCTAAAGTAGCTTCAGTTTGTGTGTGTGTGTGTATGCTAGTGGGGAGAGGTAGCGCAGTGTTTAGCGCACCGTGCTACGAACCAAGCGACCCGAGTCAGATTCCTGCTCAAGGCCAATAAGAGTTGTGAATATTTACCCTAAGTCGACTCAGCCTTACATGTTGTACCTGAAACGGTGTATAAACATCAGCACCGGGGTCACAAATGCGGCCGGGCGTGGTGCTGGCCACCGACTCCCCCCCCTTCCCCCCCACCATGTTCCATGCCGGCCTTCATAGGTGCATGCCGACAGTACTTACCCCAACAGTCTGTTACACAAATGTGGGGGATCTCTTACATATGCAAGTGCACGTTAGTATATTAGTGTACATCATGTATGCGAGGCCACATATGGATCACTGCATTACTTCATGAGCACTGGGAAAAAAAAGTCTTACAGTCCAGAGAATACAGCAATTATTGTTGGTGTCAGAATGGAGAAGAGCTTCATTGAGGGACAAACAAAACCAATTGCAGACACTGAGACTCTGAAACCTTGGTCTGACCCTCTGAGCTCTGGAAAGCACCACTGAACCCTAAGAATGATAATGCTGCCTTCTTCTGGCTCCGCCAGCCTTGGCCATCAACACTCAAACCTATGAATCTTACGAGCGCATTCGTTTGGCTCTGAGCCATAGGCAATAACACTGAACCCTAAGCAACCTACCAATGTATTAGTCTGACTCTACGAGCCTCGGCAATTAACACCAAGCACAAAAATGCAATGCCCCCCCCCCCCCTTTACCTGGCTCTGTGATCGTCTGGTTACCCTACGCCAGAGCCAAGCCACGCAAAAGTCAAGACGTAGCTAAGCATCCATTTTCTTTCGTAAAGGTGATGAGATGACAGCGATTGGATAGTAACACGCCGACACGATGCATCCATACTATTACTCACGAATCCAGAGCTGCTTGAACTACTTAAGGACCTACACGTTGCTTGGTTTGCTTACTCCTCGCCACCACTGCGTACAACGCACACACTTGTTTTCAGAGACACCTTACAGACCATTGTTTTCATATCACAACAGCCAACGCTCTACATTGCTCTATAGACAAAACGACGCGAACTTGACAGCGCACACACACACACACACTCTTATCCAAGTCTACAGGCAGTCCACAGCTTGGGAAGCAGCAGAGCAAGTTGGTTGCTGAGCAGTACAGCACGGTGTGCACTTGAGTGTTCTCCAGTTGCACTCAGTTATTTGTAACCAAGCACTCCGGTTTCCTCCGACGACTCAAACAATAAAAAAAACGAATGCAAAGAGGTAAGAATTGACCAAACATCCTGAACCGAGCCGCGCTGGGGCTGTGCCGAGCCAGCCTTACGTGGATCAAGAACTGGGGTGTTTTTTTTTCCACTGCACAACCGAGCCGCGCTGGGGCTGTACCGAGCCAGCCTTACGTGGATCAAGAAGTGGATTTTTTTTTTTCCACTGCGGTTGAATGATTGCTGTGCCACGGACGGCACACTCAATATGAACGAGTCAAGGTGCGCGTAGTGAACTGACGCAGCGTATAATGAAAACTATTGGCCTCGTTCTGAGCCCTGTTGGCCCCAAGTCAGATTGAGGTGTCTTGTGAGGCCAGTTGAAGCACGGTTTCGTTCTGGATTGGCAAATATCCAGTGGAAAACCATCTGTGTATGGCTTGGCTCAGATGTGCCAGTGGAAAAGGTGTCTTGAGGCTCGGTGAAGGCTTTCCTGGATAAATAAAGCACTGATGATTATTGTAATACTCAGAATCATTATGATTACACCAGCAAAGATTATTTTAAAAAGCACCTTAAGTTAATTCCACACTCCGCAAAGCCTTATTGAAATAAAAAAATGTCTGGTCGCCTACGAACGACGACAGAGCGGAGCGTCATGAAGAAGCACCCTCGTTTGCCGCGAAAATTAACAAACGGCAGTAGCGGCAAATTTCCCAGCCGCTATTTTTCGTGACCAAGGTCAGTGCTACCAGCAGCCATCATGGATGGCGGCCGTTGTTGTTTCGTACGTTCCAACGTCATTTTGACTTCGTATTTTTTAGAAACCTCTGCGTCTTGAAAGTCAGTTCCGTCTTCTTTGCTCAGCGGTACAGCAGAGTCCATTCGCAAAGCTCCCGCGCGGATTTCTGATTTGGTGAACGGTGGTTGTGATGCATTTTAGGAAGGAAAGAGGGATTTGCCGGGTTCTTGTTTGTGGAGGAGTTTGCGCCGGCAACTTTCTGCCGCTCTCACAAAGCAGCTCAGACGAGTCATACTGCTGGTGGTGGAATAGAACAACTAAACGACCGTTCAAAAATATAATAAAAATGGTAATATATCACTGATATGGGATACAGAGTTTAGTGTAAAATTCGGACACTTACTAGCATGGAATTTAGACACAGACTAGAGTGGGATTCACACTCAGACTGGAGATCGATTCATGTTCGATTTCCCAAACGATGCAGCGTGTGTGACAATAACACGCCAGACACATGCAGATAGTGAGAGGGATTTAGAGAGATGAAGAGACAGACACACAAAGACACGTGCACTCACACACCCACTCACATTCTAAATACACGATGACAGAGGAATACAAAAATGGATTGAGATACAGATGGTGACAGACTTATACAGAAGGACATTATATAAATAAACATATTAAGATACAGAGACCAGGAGATAGAGATAATAAGTCTGGAGGATATTGAGATGCATAACCAAAGAGATACAGTAATGACCCTGTTTACGTCAGGAATGCTTTCCTGAAAGGTGTGATGACAAATATCGAAACGATGAAAATCAAAGCAATTTACAGGGTAGGTGGAGGCAAACGCCGAGGCGGCGGATACGAGAAAGGACGGACGATGCTGTCAGTGTTGGTTGAGGCGACGCAAATCGGGTAGCGGTGTTAACAAGTGACGATGAATTTACGAAATGACGTAAAAGGGGGAGATAAACCGGGCTATTACTGTATATAGGCAAGATGGAGAAAGATATTGCCAGGCACACAAAGAAACTGAGACACACAGAGAGATGGGAAGGCAGAGACAGCGGGGAGAGACTGGGATACGGGGAGATGTTGTTGGCTCAGCACTCCTTGAGGCGATTGATCCAGGCACAGACTTTGAGTGCCGGCCCCAGCTTCAGGTTCATGGCCGACATGAGGTGATCCTCCTTGAGCAGCAGCAGGGCCTGCCCGTCGATCTCCTGCTGACGGAACTCGTCTGCCAGCTCCTGGCAGCCTGCACACCAACGGAGAAGGCGACACGGGGGGGGCGGCTGTGTGAAATGGAGGCTTGGGAAGTGTGCAATCAAGTCACTGTAGGCTCCCCGCCCTTGTGTGGTGGTGGGGGGGGGGCTGTAGGCGAGGGTGTTGTGACTGGAGTTTGTGAACCTCACCCGGCAGCCGCCCGATGAACTCCCACACCTCGAGCACGCTCCAAGCTCCCGGCTGCCTCACTTCCCTTCCCCTCCCGTGCTGCCCATGCTGCCCGTGGTGCCTGTGCTGCCCGTGCAGACAACCCATGCTCCCTCCTCCAACTCCCACAGCTCCAGACACCACCCCTCCAGCTCCTCCTCCTCCTCCTCCCATCACGCGGCTGCCACCCATCGCTCCCACCGCTCCTCCTCCCCCCCCCTCGGGTGGAGCGACGGTTCCGCTGCCGGGGTTGGGAGGGCCTGCGCTGGTCCGCCGCGTGACCGGCACGCTGCGCGCCAGCCGCTGCCGCGCCGTGTCGCGCACCCCCGAAGCGCCGTGCCGGTGCGAGTGGAGGCGCCGGCGTTTGGCCGGGCGGGGCCGGGCGGCGCCGGGCTCGGACGGCGGGCGCGGCGTGGCAGAGGGCGGCGGAGGCGGCAGCGCCGGCACCGGCGGCGTCGTCGTCGACGATGACGTCGTCGGCGGCGGCGGCGCAAGTTGCGCCGCCGCCGCCGTCCGCCTCGAGTCCGCGTCACGACCGCCGTTGGCGCTGCTGGTGCTGGTGGCGTTGGTTGCGTTGGCTGTGGCGCCCGATTCTGGTCTGGTGGTCGCTGACGAGCGGGTGGACGGGGGGCAGAAGGGCTCCTCGGGGCTGGAGGCATCGTCGCTGCCGGCAAAAGCCTGGTCCTTCAGGCCCGAGGGACAGGCCAATGACTGCCCGACGAGAGGGTCGGGAGGTGTGAAAATGGCATGGGCAAAACGGCTTAATTTTAGGAATGGAGATTCGTTCCATTCTAAATGTTACGTTATCATATAATTAGCAATCAGTTTGCGTAAAACATGAACAATTGATTCCAACATGCACAAATCGAGGTACTGTTACCATAAGAATACTTTCCCCCCCCCCCAATTTTATCCCGAGCGTACTTTTAGCGTTGTGTTACGAGACAAATAACCGGCAGGGAACTCTCCCACAATCAGTACATCACCCAAGGTTAGGAAAGAGCCCATGGAAGTGGATATCACAGAACTACTTCTGAGGTCCTTTTAAGTGACTTGTGGTCCATGCAGTAGGGAGCAGCACTTTCCTACCTGCCCTGCCACCGAGAAGAATGTTTGTAGCATGAGACTCAAACCAAAAGATTTGTGCATGTTGGAATTTTAGTTACCAGTGTAGATGAAAATTAAGGGATTTTTTTGTGGTTGTTGGTGAGCGGAATGAAACCCTCAACTCATAACGCTTGAGAACCCAATTGAATCACAAGCGGGTTGCCTGCATTTGAACTCGGGTTCCTAGCGTTACCGGGTCAGCGCTCCGACCTGTGAGCCACTTGGCAACAACCGTAAAACCAATGGTTATAATTCTCAGAGCTGGAATGTAACAAATATAAGTGCAGAACTGACTGTTTAGTCATCAGTGACTGGGCCCCAAACCACCACCGCCCTACACTTGATGTAAGAATTTATAATAGAAACGGGGAATCCATGCATTGTGTGTGGTGTTGTGTGTGTGCATATATATAGGGAGCAGTGGCGTACTCTGGTCGCTGTGTTTCTAGCGCAGCGCTACGATCCCAGCGACCCGACTTCGATACCTAGTCATGAACACCACCACCAGTGACGATTATCCGAACCGGTTCTGGGTCTCCCCTAGGTCACATCAGTCTCAAATTAGTATCTAGTGCAGTGTAAAAATTTACACCGAGGAGCCAAAGGGCAGCTGGGCATGGTGCTGGCCACCCACCCATAGGTGCTCGTTAACAGCACTTGCCCCAAAAGTTATGGCTATACGGGGGATCTTCGTCTTTGTGTGGGTGTGTGTGCGTCTTACCCTCTTGAGTTTGGACCTGGTCCCTCCTCCGGCCTTGCGAGTGTTCTTACGTGGTCGCCCCACCTTGTTCTTCTTAGAGGCGTCCGACTTGAACAAGCCAATTCGCTTACTGCAGCCGACGTTATACCTGCTCATTATGCCACCACCGTCACGCAAAGATAAAGTTCCCCGTTTAGCCTTAGCAGACTGTTGGGGTACATATGAATGCCGGCACGGCACACAAGGGGGGTGGGAGGCCAGCAGTACGTCTGGTTGCCTTTGTCTCCCCAGAGGTGATATTTTTACACACTGTACCAGGTATTCATTTGAGGCCGAGTCCACCTAGGGGAGGGCCCAGGACCGATTTAGATAATTGTCCCTGGTGTTGGCCGTAAGCGGGAATCGAACTCGGGCCAATGTGGTCATAGATCAGTTTGCTAACCACTAAACTACCGCTCCCCACGTACAATAGTTTATTGTTAAAAATTCGGTCACAGCAGAGTCCCTATGCTCACTGTTACATTGCATTTATGGCTTCATTTTGGTGATTTCGAAAAGTTTTTTGGTTTGGCCATGTTTGTTTGTTGTAGTACGGAGTTAGACTGATGGCCTTAATTTAAGTTGTCTTGTGGTTGTTGTTGTTGTTTGACTTGCATCCCACTGGGATTTTTTGCACACAGCGTTGGTATACGATGCTTTTTCAGGAATATTTTGCTGTTTTTTCCTGGATTTTCTGTTTGCACAGTCACATAGTCACTTTAAGATGTTTTCTTGTTCATGTTTTTTGTTTTTAGTCTGTTGCGGTTGCACCCGATTCAAGAGCTGAATGACTCACAGGGCTATACCAAATACATGAAACTGAAAACTGAAACAAAGACACACATACACACATTATGCACAAGCTGCAGGCCACCTACGCATACATTTATTAATAATTCCGCTTGTTTGCCCAGGAAATGCGTCAATGAGTCAATAAGATTTCTTCAACAGGGTCCTGCCAGGTTTTCACAGTAGGGGGCGATGTTGTGATGTGTAAGCTCAATTGAGTTATTTGCTGTAAAAAATTTTTTATACCACCATTGTTTGACTAATAGTAGGAAGTTTACTTTTTTTGTTAAGCCATGGGAAGAAACTGCAGAACCTGAAGGAAACTGATGCAGAACAGGGGGCATAACATACAAACTCTACACAGAAAGGGTTATTTTGACCATACTTCACCACAGCTGGTCAATGGCCGGGTTGGCAAATTGTCACAGAAGGGAAATCAATAAAGTTGTATAAAAAATGCAGCAATTAAGGTAGGACAATAATTATCACGATGACATCACCTTCACCCCTCTGCTGCAAGCTCCCATATGTATGGGCAAGCATAGTTTTTGTTAATCCCCTGCTGGGATGGGGGCGGCCTCCCCATCTGGCCACGTCTGATTTGTGCGGGAGGGGGGGGGGCACTTACCGCTTGGCACAGACCATGGAGCAGAAGCGTTTGGAGCGCTTGAAGGTGTTGTAGAAATCCACACGCCCACAAAACTCGCACTTCAGCAGACGATCGTGGACTATGGTTCGAGGGGGCTCTGTTGGTGGGGGGGGGGGGGGGGGGTGAAGATTAAGGTTGCACTACACATGCCCACTCGAATACACACATACCAAAACACAAACACACAAAGATCCCCCTTATAGCCTAAACAGACTGTTGGTACAAGTTCTGTTTGCGAGCATCTATGAAGGCCGGCATGGCACACAACAGGGTGGGTGGCCAACGCAACGCCCGGCTGCCTTTGTCTCCCGAGTGGTAATGTTTTAACACACCGCACCAGGTTCTCAATTGAGGCTAAGTAGACCTCGGCGAGGAGGCCCAGGACCAGTTCAGATCATCGTCACTGTTGCTGACCATGAGCGGGAATTGAACTCGGGTCGCCGGGTTCGTAGCGCAGCGCGCTAACTGCTACACTGCCGCTCCCCACGTATACTAAAATCCACACTCATACAGACACACCCACTCGCATCCACACGCCCCCTCACCTCTCCCCGCCTCCGCTCCATCAGAGTCACTGTTTTCTGACCGACGCCCTTCTCCCCCCCGCTGCTGTTCAGTCCCGGCTGCAGCTGCGGCAGCTGCAGTGGCGGCGGGCGTCTGTATATGAAGCTGCTGCAGCTGGTGGCGGATGTGCGCGTGCACTGCGTGTGTCTGTCTGGTGGCAGCAGCAACGACAGCGGCTGCTGGCACTGACGATCCTGAGCGAGGGGCGAGCGGCTTCTTGGCATTCTTGTCGGAGATAACGGTCTTGCGCGCAACCTGCACACGCAAGGGGTACACGCACCCACACACAGCTATTCATAGGCACGCACACACGCACAGCTATACAAAGACACACTCACGGATAATCTTCACTGGTGTTGGCTGTGAACAGGAATCGAACTCGGGTCGCTGGGTTCGCAGTGCAGCGCACTAACCGCTACACTACATACATACACAAATATATACACAGGGCCTTTAATGTAAAGGTTTTCATTAGTTTAACAGCTAGTAGCAGGTCTTCTCAGCGAGCCGGACCAGGCCTCTCCCCCATTAGTTGGGCGAGCCGACGTTTTACTACACTCACTGGGTAGAGGAGTAAGCAGGCTCAGAGCTCCTTCAGTAATGAACCACTGTACTCACGGGGAATGGCTCCGAGCCTTCTTGGATGACAAATCCCTCGATGACGTGGGTAAGAATCTGAGGTTTGACAATGGCCTGAGGTGGTCTTCCATCTCCTCCTCCACCACCACCACCACCTCCTCCTCCTCCTCCACCACCTCCGCCGCCTCCTCCTCCACCACCACCGCCGCCACCGCCCAGGTGACCGCCAGGGGTCGTGATCTCCGACCCGCTGACCCCTTGACCCGTAACCCCGTTAGGCCCGCCGCTGGCTCCAGAGGTCGTCTGAGTCGAGGTGGTGCTGGGCTCCACTTTGTCTGTGCGCAAAAATAACGGGAGGCGACGGTTAGCGAGCACCTATTAAGGGCGGCAGGGAACACGTGTGAGTAGGGCGCAGGAAGGTGAGGATCCATGGCTTAAAAGTGAGTCTCAAGTTCAGGATACACACATTGAATCGTGCCACATACGAATGAATATTACATCCACATGAGACCGAACGTAAGAGACAGACAACATGGATGGGACAGTATAAATGTTCCCTTCAGGCTAATGGACAAAACAAGACAGGACATGTGAGACACTACATATGTGCGACTACCGGTCACAGCTAACATCAGTGATGAATGATATCTGAACCTGGAATGGGTCCCCTATCCACCAGTGTAGTCCCTGTGACCAGTGCGAAGTGTGGTGTGACTGACTCATGGCGAAGTCTTCATCCAGCAGTGGATTGACAAAGGGCTGCTGCTTGTAAAAAAAAAAATTACTATACGTATGCATACAGTACAACGTTGCATATTTGACTTGCTGGGGACTGATGTAGTATGGGTGGATATGTCAACAGCTCTGAGATAACATGAAGATCTATAGAAATTATAAATCATGGTCAAAATTTGGAAAGTTTGAAAATTATCCGCAAATTTACTTCAGTTGGAATATAGTCATCATTGCCCAATACTACAAAGAAATTTGTCAGGACCCTCCTGAAAAGGAGTCTTGAGATTCAGTAAGGCTTTACTGGGTAGATAATAATCATGACAAAAGAGTTACACAATGCACAAGCCGGATGATTGGACGAAAATAAAGCGCAAACCGCTTTAAACGCGGTTAAACGCTTGAATGTTCTTTACAAGCAAGTGAATGTATGCGAGATTAAGAACTCATTACTGCCGTGCGTGACAAGGTGCAACTTGTGAATATCTTATAGAAAATGACAACTACACCCGTGCACAAACACGACAACCGTGTCAATTGGCCTGGGTGGATATGTGGCGGTGGGATATGCAACGCCGCCGTATTGTACTTCTAAATCCCGCAGGTTATCTCTCACGAGTCACTCGTCAACACCGCTCTCATCCACACAAGTCCCCCCCCCCCACCAACCAAACTACGGTTTCCTGAAAATAAGCTTTTACAAACAGCAACGGCCACATGTTCTCCATGGGGAGGATGTTGTCGTATTCGTGGTGTCTCCTGGGTCATTTTCCCCAAACCAGACACCAAGCTTGAGCCATGTTTTGATGGATGCCCCTATGCACCATTCCCATTCTGCTGTAATGTGCACTGATGCCTACTTTACTGGGGGCAATATTGGCACGTAAAATAAAGATTGATTGATTGAGGCTGAGCTTCGGAATGGGACACACAAGGCAGCTATGACGTTTGGTAGCTATACATGATGCATTTTAATGTTATTATCATCATGATACAGTCACGCAGACCAGCCTAAGATCATTCTCATTACTGCTGCTGGTCGTGATGAGCTGTGCCTTTTGACTAATCTCCTTAGAAATCTACCTCCTCAGGTTTCAAGTACAGTAAAACCTTGGATTGCGAGTAACTTGGTCTGCGAGTGTTTTGCAAGACAAGAACAAATTTTAAGTAAATATTAATTTGATAAACGAGCGAGGTCTTGCAATACGAGCAGTGTATGTATACGCCTTGTCTGCCGGGCGTCACGTGATCACAACTGATATACGACGAGTGATTTGATATACGAGTGCTTTGGATTACAAACACGTTTCCCGAACGAATTATGCTCGCAATCCAAGGTTTTACTGTATTTGGTTTTAACCAGCTGAGAACTCAAGAAACCAGGAAGAGTTTCATTTGCAAGAGTAACCTGGGGCATTAGTTTGCCAATAGGGAGTGCTGATTGGTGCCACATATAATCCGAATTGAGTCATTCGTCTCATAATGCCTAAGTTTGGTCCCATGGGTCTTGGATGTTTACACTCAACATGTATAAAAAAAACTAAAGATTTATGAATCACATCGGAAAATTATTGTTTTTCATCACGTAAAAAAAACCCATTAATAACAGCTGGATGTTTGATAGTTTTTCACTATTGCCAGTAGAGTTGTTGTAGTACTCCATTATTTATAGACAATAACAGACAGACTGGTCTCCGATGGGGTCTTCACACAGTTTGCTAAAAGATTGGCTCTCTGATGGGATATTTAGACAATTGACTAACAGACTGGTCTCCGATGGGATCTTAATATGACAGACAGGTCTGTGACAAGGGTCTCTAAACAATAATAGACTTACACACTTGCTGCCTGATAAGATCTCTAAATGATAATATACAGACCATTTTCGGATGGGAGGCATTACATAAAAGGTGAGCAGATGGGTTTCTGATGGGGTCTCATGACAACACGGAGACTTGCCGATCCTCGCCAACAATTACAAGAGTGAAATAAAAAAAATACAGCAACAAACACAAAACAAAGCAATTGCACAATTTCAAATGGACCCACCCCATCACCACCCTGGGACAAACCTGCACTTTCCTAGCGCACACTGTCGGTCCTAAGCGTTACAGCACAAAAGAGACGCCCAAACAAAGGGACGTCATTGAACGAAAAAAAAAACACAAATCTTCTGGAGCAGCAGGAGCAGCGATAGCACCAACCCCGCAGAGTTGATGGGCGGGATGGGGGGCACAGCCCCACCTCTGCCCACCGCTTCCCCCTTGAAGGGTCAGTACTCCATTTCTATTCTAAATTCTAATAATCAGTGGAAACTCACATTAGTCAATAATACTACCCTTAAAAGGATATGAAATAAAAACGATAGGCCATGTTTTGGACGATGGCCCTTCTTCATAGTAGAGATGATCTCAATTGTCTTTGCGCACCACTGCCCATGCGGTATCACAAAACTAAATTTGACAAAATCTTGGCACAATAACATCCAAATACATACACACACATGGGGTGAGCATAGCAGAGCCGAACCCACAAAATTATATCGTATCGTTACTCATTCTGCTTCGCATTTTAATTAGTTTAACGTTAACTGTGTCGTGTACCCCTCACCCCCCCCCCCCCCCCCCGAATTGTCAAATGCCCCCCACACACCCCAACTTCACTTTAAACAACAAGGTCTCGCTATACTACAGGGTTGAAGAGCACCCACCTCCAAGAACAGAACCATGGATCCGCCGGCCAACAACCGGCGCCAACACCGCCAGACTCCTCATTCAAAGGCTCTTCCACAGCGGTGGCTGTCAGAGCTGCGCGTGGGTGGTCTCCTGCTGTTTGCTTCGTTGGGTAAATAATTATTTTGTTGTTATCGTCGCCGTTCATCCGACACAGTGGTGGCCAGAGTCTGTGAACTCACCAACTCACAAAATGTAGCAAAAGCGTCGACGGTGGAGAAACTTGCGTGGGGGAAGGGGGGGGGGGGGTCAGTTGTTGCTCCCTGTCAAATTAACCGGTCGTGGTTTTAGAATCTGACTTTGCGCGCCGTATATTTTCTTAGGTTAATGGTCTCAAGAGGCGGCTCCTTCCAGAATTGGTCAAGCAGGATTTAAAAGTCGGGTTCCAAAGGCGACGACGAGGCTAAGGCATTTCATGACGAGGGAGTGATAAACTCGGCGCTAAAATTCTGCTGAAGGCTCCGTTCCCTCGCTCATTTTAAACGCGTCAATCCTGGCAGGAACAAACTAACGACCAATTTCATCGCCACCGCTCAGAGGAAGATGTCAACAATGCCTGTTGGACCTTGTTCCCTATTACACTTTCTCTTTCCATGCGACGACACAACTTACAAATGAACAAAACGGCCAGCCAAGCCGGGAGCAAAGAAGTTGCTGCAATTCAATACAAATGCTTGCCTTCACGGCTTAATTTTTTTAGGAATAACAATGTCTTCAACATCTTCTTGTAAAGGTTCTATTTGATACAATGTTGTCTTGCACATGTGACAAAATGAAAATCGATTCAGCCAGCACGACGAGCTCTCAGCAATCACCACTTTGGCAAAACAAGTTTTTTTTTTATCTTTCCCCGAGTCTTCTTTTGTGGACACGTTTCCGACATCCGAGTTTTGTGTTCTGTCCTACCGCTAGTTCTCCATCATCTGCAGTAAATAAATTGTTTCTCAACCTGTGTCACTGTGGCTCGCTTTGTATCGCCAAGCAAGTGACTCTTTCCAAGGGATTCAAAACCACGCTCGCCCGCTCTGTCGCAACAATGGGGTCGGTGAGCGCACGCTGCGAGGCAGGCTCAGATGTCGCCGGTGTTCACCGCCACCCACCCCAACCTCACCATCATCCCAGAGACAAGCAGCACCTTCTCAAACGACGACGACGACAAGGAAGACATAAACGAAGAGGCGAAGCGTGGCTTGCAGGGCTTCTGGCACGAGCGACAGCCCAACAGATGGGTGGAGAAAATGAAAGGAAAACAAAGCAGGCAAACAATAAATAAATAAGTAATGCTGCCCCCTTTCCTTCCTCCGATGGTGACACGCTGGAAATTTGGCAACTTGAATCCGATTTGCTGAATTTTCTTTCCACAAGTTCTCTCTTTGGCGAGATGCGGCTGGAAGCGAGGAAGGTTACTGAAAGACGCAGGATTTGAGAAAATCAAGCGGAGAATTCTTTGGCGACAGCGAGCAGCATGCGGCAACGAGGCGAAGGCTTCACCGTTGAGCCGCCACAAATGCGCTCGATTCTTGATATCACGGCCGTGATATCCTGCACGTGCATTTTAAAGCAGTGCAGCGATTTCTGTACATACGGCCGTCCGGCAAAAACCAAATGAAAAACAAAACAAAAACTCACGCATAGGTTTGGAACGGCATCCAGAAACAGAACTTGGTGGGATGAAGCCACGCGTTCGTCAAGGAGGAGGCGGCAAGGCTTGCTTGGGGGGAATTGTGCGAACAGAGAAAAAAAACGCTCGAAAAAATAACGACGTAATCTTGGGCTGGCCTGTTCAAAATTTCCCTGTTAATACGCTGCTCGTTTCATTGGTTCAGCGCAACTCCAGAAACACTCCCGAGCGCGACAATTGCCGTGGCGAT